AGGAGGTTTCATAATCAAGATTTTAGAAGGGCCCCCACCCTGTAATAGTGACTATAAGGATTATATTAGGGCCCTATTATATTCCTATTATACTACTATTACAGGGTGGGGGCCCCTTCTAATTAAGATTGTACATGGGTTTACAAAGCTTAAAAAGGCTTCATGACGACTTCTAAGGTTCCACAAAGCTACGTATAACGCTCGCTTATCACCTGGTCTGAATAGCTTAGGCTGTAGAGCTTTTAGGGCTTACCGCCTTAACCAGGAATAACCTACCATTTTACAGAGATCTATAAGGAACTCATATTAGGAAACCCGAACAGGTAGGATATGCAGGCTTAAGGTACGGTTTAGACAGGGAGGGAGCCCAAAAGGAAACACCCTCCAGCTCGGCAGGAGCCCTTCGAAAACAGTGCCCTCTCTTGGAAGGACCCCTTGAGGCAAACGCATAGGGTTCCTTTAAAGGGGTCTATAACGGTTACTATAAGGGCTAGTAGAAGGATTTACTAATAGGGTTCCTTCTTATATACGGCTAACAAGATTTGCTACTTCTCCATGGCTGATGCAGGGTCATGTAGCTGGTGTAGTGCAAATCCACGTGAAGCAGGGTGTTTGGTTGCCCGAAAGGACACTGCAACAAACTACCGTGGAATATCTCCAAATGGTTAATATCACGGAATTTACCGCAACGTGAATTAAAAGGTCGTACCCTGCATAAGCTACTCTCCTTTGTAACAACCCCGCTTGGGGCCAGAGCATATATATATATTCCCGAATAACCCTCCCCCAGCCCCACACCCTGTACATATTCGTGTAGGCTGACTAAGTGGATCGCACCGAACTAAAGCAGCACCTAAATCCCACAACTTCAACCCCCTAAATCCCTAAAACCCGAAAGCCCTCAAACCCTGAGTTTTAACTCTATCCCTAAAACCTAAACCCCATACCCTCGACCCTTCAAAGGAACCCTAAAAATGCCTGTCATAGTGCTCGTTTAAGGAATCCTTATAATGCATAGTACCCTTTTAAAGAACCCTTTTAGAGTAATTACCCTCTTAAGGGCCTCTTACATAGTACCCTTTTAAGGAACCCCTAAAATGTACCCTCACCAAAGACAAAGGCACATTCACGGCCATGTGGAGAAGACCCGGGATCCTCAAGCCGACGCGCGTTGGGCTCTTTTTCGTTTTAAGGGTTTCGGGTTTAAGGTTTGGGAGTTTAGGGTTTGGGCGTTTGGGGGTTTAGAGGCTCCGGGTTTACGGTTTAGGAGCTTAGGGTTTAGGGCTTAGTGATGCATTGAGGTTTAGTGTGTAAGGTTTTGTTTTCAGGAGCTTGGGTTTAAGGTGTAGATCTTAGTGTTCGCATTCTAGAAGTTTGGGTTCTGCTCTGCTTTTGGTGTGTAAATCCTAGGCTTAGGGTTTTTAGGATTTAGGGTTTGACGTCTGAGATTTACGGTTTGCAGAAAAGTCTTGGGGTTGATTCGGAGTTAGACTACGGTGCCTAGAAAAAGGTGCTTCGAGATACATGTTTTTTAGAGTCCATGGCACCGCATTCATGGCCAATACAGATGACTATGAGTAGTGCTCCCTGATGTCGGTGCTGATGTATGTTCTCAGTCTAAACCCACTCATAGGACTGCTGCGTGCACTGCCATGACGATGTTGTTGAAAACCCGTATTGAGCTCGGCAACCCCCCTTATATAGAACCCTTATATAGATGCTGTGTCGAATCCCTCACGCTTAGGTCCTTTGGAGCCCTGTGCAATGCTGCTGTGGACAGGTCAACCTCCGAAGATGCATGTAGAAAGCATTGTACAAGGTTGTCTACAGGATACTAAAAAATGTATGTATATATGTATGATATATAGTGTAAGTATTGTCATATTGATGTGTAAGGGTTCAGGAAGGTGTTGAGGTTCATGGCTTCTCGACAAAAGGCTGTGCCAGCGATGATGCGGCTGCAAGAAGTCGGCGCACCTTGGACCAACGGATTCGAGATGTTGTACTGGCTTCAATGAGTTGAACAATGTTGGGGAGAAACTATCGTATTTAGATGCGAACTGCAGACTGTGCTACGGAAGGCTGCATCGGCATAGAACAGCGCTTGATATTTTAATGGCATGCGTCATTTGCCCTGGTCCGGTTTGAACCGGAAATGGATCCGGGAGCAACCCTGCACAACCCCCATAATGATCGCTTGAACACTTACTTAAACAGACTACCACCCTTGACCCGAAATACATCCTAAGAGGCTTCATAATTAGTGTTTTAGAACCGAAACCCCAAACAGTAAAATTCTTTACCTATAAATGCTCAAAAGCCCTGAACCCCTGCAAAACCCTGTGCAAACCTCAAACCCTGTCAACATTCGGCCTCCTCCGCATTTCCATGCCGCACCGCTTGCGCCAATGCGGCTTGTGCATCGGCGGCCTCCTCTTGTGAAGCGATCTTTTTCATGTGTCTCTTTGATGGGAGGCCGCAAGGGGGGTTTAAGATTCTTGGGGTAGGGATTCCTTAATATGAACCCTATTATGGGAACCCTAATCCCTACTAATCCCCCATAGCCTAAAACCCCTTTTGGCCTCCTATGACTCTTCGGTAGGCAGACTAGATCCCAGTCAGAACCCGACTTGCTTAATCCCGGTCCGTTAAAGGCCTGGATCGCGGGGTCCTTCCTATGCTTTCTGATTGCCTACATTCAGGCTTGCATTGTTGCTGGTTTTAGATTTGGTGGCCAATGAACGGCTTGTATGATACATACTTACTTACGTACATAATTATAAACAAGCATGCCTGGGTTTGATTCTAGGCGTTGCGAATTATTCGGGTGTTTATAAACACAGTATGTATATATATATATATGTATATATATACACACGTATATACATATATATGTATATATACACATACAATAACATCGATGTAACCCTTGGAAAATCCTCTACAGCCCGTGTTTTCAGTTTGACAACGGCGGATCTCCTCGACGTCGACCTGTGGTACAAATCGGACCGGAGGCGCGCCTCAATTTGATTGCGTACACGCTTTGCAGGGTACGTGATTCTTTTGGGGGTTCAGGATTGAGAAATTTGAAACCTAGACGAGAGTTATCAGAAGATTAGATTTCGTGCGGTTTGGAATGTCAAACTCTATTCTTATAAGGTTTCATGGGCATTTAGGGGCTTCTTCCACTACACTGAAAAATTGAACCGCTACGAGTCATGATCGTCTGCTCTTGAGCGTCTAGAGTCTAGGGTCTACCTATAGTCTCCTTTGTAGTTCCTGTTTTTGGTTAACCAGTTTTATGGTCAGGATCCAAAAATAGAGATTTTGGTTAACCAAAAAAAGGAACTACAATGGAGACTATAGGTAGATTTGGGTCCCTGATTCTCGAACCCCATATCAAGGACATGACGGGATTGCAGGGTTCAATCAAAACCCCTGCACTGACCCCTGAACCCTACACCCTGAACCAGAAGCCCTGAACCCTATAAGCCCTAGACCCTAGATCCTCAACCCTAAACTCCGAACCCGAGCCCTTAGCTAATTACTCAGGAATACATACCTTCCCTGATATGTTTGTTAAGGCATATTCCTTGTTTGAGGGGTATCGGAGTCTCTTTGTACACCGGTGTCGAGGGTTCGGTTCGGGGGTATGTATCCAGAGTTCGCGACTTAGCACTGGATCACCAAGTGGAAGTACGACCCGGACCCTCAGTTCTCTATAAGGAAAAGAGAGAAGGTAAAGTACTTCTCTGCTTAAAAACCCATTAGTAAGAAGGGTATGGGTGCCTGCTGTTCGTGCTATTTGGTTTCGACAAGGGATCCACAAAGAAAAGAGCAAAAGGGTACTACTGGGTAACCTAGCTTCTGTCTTTCTTGCATATGCATCTGATGAGCAAAGCCATCCCCAGCCTCAAACCCTAAGCCTACAACTCTTTGTCTTTCCCCCCCAATTGCAGCAAATAGTAGACAGAACAGCCCACCAACCCACGGGCTTGAACTCGAGTGAACGCAAAATCACCGTTCAAAAAGAACCTATCACGGTTTGCGGTTTAGGGGTTTGAAGATTTTCAATGAGATAAGTGGCGCTTGGCGCAGCCCAGTCGTTCGAGCAGCGACGTTACGCTTGCCCACATGGTGGGGCTGCTTCGGTAGCGTCCGACACTGATGATAAAAAAAGAGTGGTTCTTGTGAGACTGAGACCACGTCATGCGGAACATCTAAGACAGAAAACCCTGGAACCCTGCGCATCTTCAACCCTCTGTAAGATACGTTTTGCTCTTTTGGAACCTGTGCTGATGTAACTAACAGCATAACACTCATTACACTTCAACCTGCCTGTTAATCGTCGGTCGAGGCTTTTGGATGGATTTTAGCGCTTGGTGTATCGGCCATGCGCTGGGACAGCAGGATGTATAGGGTTCACTACAAGATCGAATATGTGAGCCAACCAGCCAAGCAGTGTAAGGCCGGGCTTGGAACTTAGGGTGGAGAGTTTAGGGACTTCAGGTTTTGGGGTTTAGAGCGGCTTCGGTTCTGAATACGCTGACACCTGCTCCATTTCTGCGCCTTCTGCTCCTAAACCCTTCTGCATGCCAATCTCTACGGACCTGCGATGCTCGAAGAGATGCGGCTGAGCGACATGCACAGAGGCGTAGCACCCAAGCGACCGAAAAAGCACAAGTACAACATGTGTGATGTTCCTGTCCCGTCTTGTTCGGGAGCTTGGAAACACACCGGACTTAGGATTTTACCTGAAACATCCGGATCCTGAAGCCGTATTCAGTATCCTCTTGTGTATGAAAAAAGGAATATGTAAATATAAATACAAAAATAGACATAGTAGATACATATGTATAGTATACAGATACAGATACACACCTCGAATCATCTCATCAAGCCCCTTGTGATTCAAGGTGTACTCCTTAGTTAACACCTTTCATCACTTTGCATGGGGCTATCTCTGCATTCTGCACGCACGCACGCAGGGCACTCCGGGCCTGGGCATGCTGGTGCGCATGGTAGGAACGCAAAGTGTACCTCAGAGAGGTTTAGAGCTTACCTATAGTCTCCATTGTAGTTCCTTTTTTGGTTAACCAGTTTTATGGTTAGGATCCTATAATAGAGATTTTGGTTAACCAAAAAAAGGAACTACAATGGAGACTATAGGTAGGCTTAGGGTTTAGGGGACTAGGGTTTAATTAGGGCTTACGGTTTAGACCAAAGAAACCTGAAAGCTCTCAGTGAATGAATACCTGTAGGCCCGAACAATACGAAATAGTGGGTCATGACTTATGACCCTCATCTCAAAAACAGTAAGTTGTTGGAGCCCCAGGCACACAATAAGTTCTACTAGGGATGTTGCATGCAATTCTAAATATTCCCCAAAAATAATACTTGGTCACATGGACACTTAGGGGAAGGCTTTCAGCGGCTGCGCCCGAAGATCTCCTCTCCCTTCCTAGTCCCCTCCCCTCCGCCACCTTTACGGCTAGCCAAGTGCCACACGACGTTTTTTTTTTTTTATGGGCCCTTTTCCGTCTGCAGTAGCGTCCGAAATTCCATAGGTGGAGGAGCCTGGGGCCCGATACCCTGGTACACTACAGTATCAACTTCCAAGTCTTCAAGTCATCAGCAACCCAAGGAGTACACCACTATTGACCAGGTCGGGCAAGTTGCGAGCCACGGGGCATCTGTGCACACCCGGGCCATCTCAGCATCCGTGATATTAACAGTATACCACCACCCCCCACACGACGGTTTAGAGTTTAGGGGTTTAAGGGTTTAGGGCGTGCCTGCGAGCACGGGGCATGGTGTGCTACGAAGCTCCTAAGGGCCAACAGACTGACCTCCATCCCCAGACGAAGGCGGCAGGGCGTCGGCAGCGATGTCTTCGACGACCGACTTTGCAAACATCAATGTCGGTGGGTTCGCCATGCTCCGCGGCTACTGCAGCAAAACACCAGCACGACGGAGCCGAAACCAATGCATGCTCCTCATGGCGCTCTGGCACAACCCACCTTAAGGACGAAATGTACCATAAAAGGGTATAAGGTTCATATACCATATAAGAACTCATAGTATAAGGGTAAACGGCCCTTACTTTTAAGGGTCATTTAGTCTTTGACGCAGTGGCTTGCGAATCAGGGTCGTAGGCGTCCGGGCTCCAAACATTCTCAAACGAGAGCGAGGACGTAACGCTGCAGAACTTCCCTCACGTGGAGCTGGACTGGAAAGCATTCAATTACCATGGAGCTCGCCGAGGCATTGATGCTCAGCATATCCATCGGTGCTGGATCTGTGCCGGCTGTACTAAGGGCCTGAATGATTAGAATAGGGTTGTGGGGCCATTATACTGAGTTAAAATAAGGAGCCCCCGAAATAGTGTAGGTAAGTATTAAGGATGCTGTACCATAATACTCTTTTAGATCTAGTAGCCCTTATAGACCCCGTTAAAGGAACGCTAGGAACCCCAATCCTTATATAGTAGCCCTTTTATAGAACCCTTTTTACGGATCCCTTTGAAGGGATCATGCGCGCCCTGTGTTGACACACCGATGGTCGGTTGCCAGCCGACCTTGACTTACCTGCTAACGGAGAAATTTCCATACCCTAAACCCTAAACCCCTAAACCCCTAACCCTAAACCGATATGGGGTTGCTGGTTAAGGGTCCCAGGGCTTCCGAAAATACGGGACCCTGAAACCTATAAACGGCCATTATCCTGAACGCTTTCGGGGTCCAGGTAGTGTTGGTAACTTAGGCTTCTATACGGGGTTTCCGACAAATAAGAGACTCTGATATAGTACAGTACCCTAAGTAGTAGGATCCTTATTAAAAGGACCCCTAAATAAGGTACTCCCCCATTTTCGCTTATAGAGATCCCTTTAAAGGTACCCCTCCCCCATTTTCGGAACCCCCCCTTTTCTGAAGAACAGCAGGCTTGTCCTGCGCTGCTTTCAGGATCAGTGACAAGAAAGAGTGTCGGTGGTCAAAGGTTATAGTACCTATAGTCTCCATTGTAGTTCCTTTTTTGGTTAAGCAGTATTATGGTTAGTATCCTATAAATATAGAATTTTTGGTGAGCCAGAAAAAGGAACTTCAATGGAGACTATAGGTATTATAAACTAATCAGAGGAGCGTGGGTTGAGGATTATGGGTTTAGGGCCGTGCTATGTCTAGGTATTTCCGCTGCAGAACCACACTAAACAAAAACCCTAAACTCCTAAAAACCCTCGAGTTTCATGAGCCCGCTGGCTGTCATACCACCCTGAACAGTTCTTGAGGCCGCTGCTTGTCATGGCCCATCTTGGCGCGATGGCAAAACAGGATCTGCTGAGACGGAGCAATCCCCGAGATGTCCTGCGAAAGTGAAGGTTTGATTGGGTGGGGCTTTGCCATGTGGCTCTGCTATTGCTGAACACAGCAAAGCCTGTTCGAAGAATCTGAACCTCCACCTTGAGATGAAGCTTCGGTTGCTAAGTGGCTCTACAAGCACGTCGCGACTTTACCCACAGCTCCTTTTCTGGCTAACCAGATTTATACTGTAGAACCAAGCAAAGGAACTAAGTGCGGACTATATAGGTGTAAAGAAACACGGCAATCTTCACCTATTTCGAACTCTCCCGGCCATGTAAGAGTACAATGTCAAACCTCGTAGGGATTCCAGGAAGGGTTGGCACATGACAATCTAGTCAGAGCAGCGCGAACGTAAACATTTGTCGAAATCCGACATCTTGACAACGTGGGTAATGCTCGAACTCAAGGCCCTGTGTGGAATCCCCAAGACGGAGAACCAGGAGCCTCATGCGGCTTCAACCTTAAAGCATGAACTCATAGCCTCGAGAAGCCCTCAGCCTACATCCTCTCCTCAATGATCTCCTTCAGGGACGGCGGCTTGTCTCCTCCTGTTTGGCCTCGGTTTGGCGTTTAAGGCTCGTTGAAGCATTCAGCACCTCGCCTTGGAACTTCTATGTTCAGAACTTCTGCTCTTTGTACTTCCCTGGGTAGTATACAACAAGTCTTCTTACTAAGACGATCACTACTAGTATTGACCTAGGTGCTCCGTTGGGGTACACGGTGTTCACCGCGACTCCGTTCGTCCTTCATGCTGGTTTGCAGATCTAAAGCTCCTTCTCTACAGCCAAACCAACAAACTTAAAGAGGGAATAAGATTCAGTAAGATACGGAGGGATCCGTAAGATGATCCAAGGTGTTCTGCCCAACTATCCATCGGCCATAAAGTGCTTTCTGTCGAAAGTAACTTGAGGGCACCAGTCTATGGCCTATGGGTCTCTGGAAAACAGAAACCTTATGCAAAGCCTGTGCATTTGTTGAGCAGTCGCCTGGCACTGGCCCAATAGGAAGGTCCGGATCCACGCGCACGACGTATCGGTCGCCTGCAGTGTTCAGGGCGGTTGTAGGGGCGTTCAGGGCTTGCTGAGGGTCGGGGATGTATCCCAGAGAAATGAGCCAACAAGAGCTGTGGGGGAAGTCTTGATGGCAAACTGCTTAAGAAGGATGTGCTGGGCTATCTGCATATCCAGCAGTCTGTGTACCTCGGACGATCTTTACACCTCTGTTCTACGGTCTACTGACCATCTTCCGACTACTAGACCCTACATTGCTCGATACTTTATCACATTGGACTGCAAAATGCCGCTTTCATACTCCGGTCAACATGCGGTTAAATTCTATATGCATGTACGTATAAAAAGTGTCAACAAACACAAGGGTATGTATGCACGTAGACACGAACATACACAGAGAGAGGCAGAGTCAAAAGAAACAAATAACACGCGCGCACACACAGGAAAACGCCCACACGCACATGCGCGCGCGTGCACACGCATGCACGTGTACGCAAAAACAGACGAGTATGTGGTACTCATTACAAAAGCATATTCTTTTTCAGAGCCTAAACAGTGCATGCAGAACTGCTCCTGGCCCCCTTGACGCACTGAGGGCTTTTATGCAAGCAGCCTGAATGCCAGATGCCTCGAATCTGTGTCTAAAACACTGCCCAGAAGATCAAGAGCTCGAGAAGACCGAGGAAAAGCAAACTTGCGGTTAAGTTTTTAATTCAAGTCTACCCCGAAGACCTTTGAACATCTTTTGAACCTAAATCCGCCCTGCTGGTGCGACTTTCTGTGGGGCACTGTAGAGTTTGGGATGGATTTTGTTCAAAGGGCGTCTGGTCCAGAGCAATCAGGTCAGATCTGGGCTAATTATACCCTACCCTCGAATTGAGGATCATGCGTCCCTTGAACTACTGAGGGTCTGAACAGTATGAGTTAAGATGAAGGGTATACTCTGTACTGAGGCGTGTTGGGTTCTCTGGGTACTACAATGCGGTGGAAGGCAGGCCACACATGCCCTACTGGTCCAACGGTGTCTGAACCGTCTGAACCCCAAACCCTAAACTCCTGAACCCTAAGCCCTAAGCCCCTAAACCCCAAGCCTGTGTCCACGAAGTTCAGCGTCAGCCGTGTGTCCTCCTTCGCAGCCTGCCGAAGATAAATCTCGAGTCTGGCTACGTTGGCCGTTTAAACCCAGATCCTCGTAAGCTCAACAACGGAAAATCCAAAATCTCCCAAAGGCCTACCTGGTGACAGATAACCAGATAGCCCTTTTCCAGGCTGATAGGGTTTTGAAAAGATCGTAATACATGGCTGCACCCTAAACCCTAAACCCTAAATCCTAAACCCTAAACCCTAAACCCTAAACCTTTATGGATTTGTAGCGGTTCTCTAAGCTCCCATCTGGGGCCCTCTGCGGCTTCGCGCTTGAAGGCCTGATTTCGGAGCCCGCATATTCGGAAACCTCTGAAGTTCCTAGCAACTGGCCGAAACCCACCGCAAAATTCAAAGCACTAACCCCGAACCCCTGGAGTTTATAAGCAAGAAATCCGTAAGCTCTAAGCCCAGCCGAACCCCTCCCCCCTGACAAACATAGTGCAGAACATTGCAGAACAAACTGGCCTTGGCTTCCCTCTCGAGCTGCTTGAGCTCACCATTCCGTCGGGGAAGCGCCGGGCGCTTCTTGGCGGTGCCTGGCTCGTCAAACGACCTACATACAAAAGTAGTACTCGGGTTCCCGTATGGTCCCCTTTTTTTATTCGCCTGGAGATTAAGTCTAACTTAGGGTCCCTAGCTTACTGTGTCCCTGTATTCCAGGCGAATCGAAGCCAAAAGGGTCCGAATCTCCGGTTGCTTTGGGGTGTGAGGTCTGAGACTTGATGTGTAGAAAAGCTGAATGGCTCAAGGTTTAGGAGTTTAGGAATTGGGGGTTAGGGGTCTGGGAGTTTAGGGTTTGGGGGTTTAGGGATTAAGGTGTATCGTGCTCGGATTCGAGACCACGGATTCGGTTCGGGCGTTTATGGAGTTTAAGTTGGGGCTAAACGCTGCTCTCGGCTCTGGCAGCAAGGAAACTGCAGAACTTGGTTCCGTGATAAGAGTTATAATGAACACCTTTAACCCTCATGAGAAATGCAGAACTTAAAGTGGAAAGACAGGACACACATCTTGCACTTAGAGAGCAAGACCGTGGTTTCAGGGATCTCTACAAACAAAAGGCCCCTTGAGCCCCGGACGATTTCCTGAAACCACCCCCCTAGCACTGATCATCCTAAATCCATGTTCCAACTTTCTGGGGTTCACTACATATTACACCCCCCCAGCCAAAGCCCCAGAGTCGTGCGAATCTTGCAACCTCCAAACAACCTACAATGAAAGCATAACTGGCTTGGGAGTTTCCGAAATTTAGGGGTACCTCATTTTGGGGTCCTTATAATAAGGATCCTACTACTTAGGGTACTGTATTCGGGCGCCCTATGTTCGGAAACTCCCGTTTGGGGTTTAGGAAGAGAAGCCGCCCTAGCTGTCCAGGACCTCTGATACCTATGCGTGGGTCGAAAGGCTCTCTTCCAAAACAGCCGGGCCGCAAAAGTTCAAATTTTCTAAGATAGACATCTGTATCTGTGTAAGTAATATACACATGTTTACACACATGCATACATACGTATATACACACATACGGATAATGACGATCGGCTATTTCAATCTCCTATCTCTGGAACATGCTGATACAGGGGCCTTGTAATACTTCGAGTAGGGCTTGAGGCTATTATAGCTATCCTAAGGAGCACATTGGTAATCCCCTAGTGACCCTAACCCCTAAACCCCAAGTAAACCCTACATTCTAAACCCCTAAACCCTCAACCCTCAACCCTAAGACCCTAAACCCCTAAACCCCTAAACCCCGAAACCCCGAAACCCTCAACCCTCAGACCCTAAACCCTGAGCCCTCAACGCGTCCGGCCCAGCTCTTCGACCCAGCCTCCGGGTCCCGTCGGCGCAGAGGCACATCTCTGAAGCTCTGCCTCCTTGGACACACGGCGAATTAAGGTTCTTAGGGTTCAGGGGTTTGGGTTCAGGCCGTTTTATAGGGGTTTAGGGCTCAGGGGTTCAGGGTTTAGGCCTTTTTATCGGGGTTTAGGGTCTATAGGGGTTTAGGGGTCAGGGATTTCTGGATTTGCGGTTTCGGGCTTAGGGGTTTAGGAAACCTACAAGTAAAGCAAAGCAGACGGGCTTTCTAACAGATTGAGAGTTGGCCTGAAGAAGTGCATGCAGTAGAATGATTTTTGTGTTTTGAGGAAGTGTCTTGTAAGAGAGCTACCCTGCTACAAGGAATAGTACTGTAATCATTCAGACCCCTATATCATGGATTTTGGGGAGTCAGTGTTGAGGCGCTAAGCTTGTCGGGCCTTTGCAGTAGACTCCGAACCTGTTTCTGGAGACGTGAGTACCCTCATTACACTTTGCATTCTTAAAGAGCACGGGGCCCAACTCACTCGGTAAAAAAGCATTGGCCAGTTAATCAAAAGCAGAAGCGGGGATGTGGATGTGTTTGGGTTATGACATACCACAGTCTTTGGGACGGGATTCAGGTGCTAGGATGTGTCGCTAAACTGTTTCTGCGCAGACACAACGAGCAAGTCGCATAATCTGTCTTGTACAACTCACTCCTGGCGCGCACTGGGCTTCCAGCGTACAACATGGTAACCGACATGGAACACCAGGCAAAGTCAGAACAAGGCTTCACATTGATGCGGGCCCCTGGTGAATGGAACACTTATTCCTTCTGAAGCAGGAGAGTTTGTTGATCAGAGTCTACATTATCCACTGTAAACCCTCATTACAAAACTTAGCCTAGAAGACACCATGCAACCCACGTAAAACCCTCTAGAACGACGATTAATATTAGGTTCGCATCCACGTCATAGTACTTTGCATTTTGTAAGTCCAGTCGCTGTGACGGTTGCCTGCTGCTCCGCCGCCACCGCCTCTCCTTGGCTTTGTACCGCGTTACCGAGCCTTCCACCGCAAAACCCTTTAGGGTTTTCAGGGTTGAAGTAGGCTTTAAGGGCTGAGTGTTAAACGCTATCAAGCCTGCACCCTGAGCAATAAACCCTCAAGCCGTTACGACCTCCGAGGAATTTAACAAACCTAGAACCCCTAAACCTTAAAGCCCAGCTTCACAGTGCACGGGCTACGTAGAGCTTGAAGAATTTTTGCTTCAACGGCTCGGGGGGGGTGGCAGTTCTATGAGATCAGTAAGGCTTTAAAGATTTGGAGCTTAGGGTTGAGGGTTAATGTTGTGGAGTATACTGGGTTCTTGTTAAGGAACTTAATTTAAGTTACCATAATAGGGATCTATCGTAAATAGTAGGGTTTCCTTATTATGGTAATTTAAATTAAGTTCCTTAACAAGAACCCAGTATAGCTTAAGCGTTGCACAACTCTACTTGGAGGACATGCGACGTAGTAGGTCAGGATACACGTAGCTCAGACAGCGTCTCACAATAGTATAGGTACAGTTACCTTCTGTTGATCCCAGGTTACAAAGTCCGATGATCTTGTAAGGTACCTATAATCTCCATTGTAGCTCCTTTTTTGGCTTAACCAAATATAAAAACAGGATCCTGAAGGTAACCGCAAAAAAGGAACTACAGTGGAGACTATAGGTAGGCTTTCGGGTTGAGTGGTAAGGATTGCAGGGCTCTGGTTGAGGACTCGGGGCAGCAAGGCCCTGCAAAAATCATAAACCCCGCTTGAAGGATCATGGGACTTCGTAACAAGGGTTCTAAAGAAGGTACCTATATACTTGTGTAATTGCATATATAATCCAAGTTACGGTACTTATATCCTTACTTGCTCAGTCCCATGACCCTCCAAGGTAAAAAAAACTGAATTTGCCGTGCCACTGAAGTAGTACTTGATGCGCTGTCGCTCGGCTTCCTGCAGACAGGCTTAGACTTTAGAGTTTCACGGTGTATACCTACCCAAAAACGGTCTATAACAAAGGATCCTTAGGTTTTACATAGGCTATAGGGCTAAGGGTCTGGGGGATTAGACTGTAACCCCAAGCGTCCAAGCACCTAATAATCATATACTCTCCAAAATCCTAACCTGCCTAACTACTACCCTCAAACCGAGTACCTGATTATTGGGTCCTTTGGACCCTTGGGGGGTGTAACTCAAGCTACCATGGAACGTAATGGAGGGGCCTGAATATTTAGAATGGGGTCTTGGGGCCCAGTATACTACAGTCCTACTCAGGAACCTCCAGAACAGTATAGGTAATTTACGTATACTGTTCTGGGGTTCCTAATGTTTAGGCCCCTATATTAACCTACGCTTGCTTATCAACCCTTTATGCAGTTTGATTTGACCAGACAGATTAAGGAGATGTTGGAAGTTCAAGGTACAGGGTTTACAGTAGAAGCCAGAAAGTTGGAATATCATTATCGTAACCCCTTTTAAGGTAGATTATGGGGGATCCTACCAGTAATCCATATTCCAACTTTCTGGAGTTCCCTTTAGGGCATAGGTTCATGGTAGGAGGAGCTCGGGAGGATCAAGGGTTGGGTCGGCTCTGTTAAGGCTTTGATGACTTCGGTTCTGTAACGGTCTTTAAAGGGTCTACGACGGCTCTATCACGGGTTTGTGGAGGTCTGGACTTCAACAGTTTGGGGATATGGCTTGGCTTAAAATTAGGGTTTAGGAGCTAGCGGAGGTTGGACTTTGAAGGAGGAAACATTGCGCTCCGTGTTATTTGATTGCGGGGAAGCACGCTGAAGGGTCAGTGGAGTTAGCAACAACACCTGAACAAACCCCCTCCCCACCTCCTCGGCAGCTGAGGCTTTAGTGCAGCGTCACCCTGTCCTTTACCTGGTATCCAATCCTATCTGGGAGAGATCCCAGTAGCAACGGTATTGTAAAAGAGTTTATGCAGTAAGAGAAGGTGACGGCGATGGACAGCCAAGAAACTCTGAAGCCTTGCTCCTAGGGGGCCCAGCCTTCGAAACCCTGAGCCTGAATCTTTTATAGAAATTCCAGAACCTCTCAATAAACCCAAGCGCTGAACCATTAAACCCTAATCTTATGATTCCTAAAACCTCAAACCCCATCACCGAGAAACCCGAGAGCCCAAGCCCTCGGAACATCAATCCCTCAGTTCAAATTTAACCCCCCCCAAACGTATACGAAGGCCGAATATAACCCGAAACTCAAACCCTAAGCCGTCTTCTCCACTGCCACCTCGAACTCTGCCCGAGCTCTCTCCTCCGCCTGACTATGCTTCCGAGTGTCAGTCGAGGGGTCCGACGGTGTGCGGTCTTGGGCTTTCGGGGCACTTTGCGAGTTTAAGGCTCAAGGCTTTTTGGGTGTTAGGCCTAGAGTTCAGGATTTTGCTATTGTGGGGTTTTGGGCTTTATCTTGCCTCAGGAGTTTGGGCTTTGGCTCCGGGATCAGCTTGAGATGTTGTACGTAACCAGACATGGAGGCATTCCCGCGAGCGAAAGCTTCGAGCAAGTCAGCTTCCAAGTGCTGAATCCCTAAACCCTGAGCAACTAACCAGGTAGCGCCTGCACGGCCTGTACTTGGAGCACAATCAAACGACCGCGCTGCAATCGTGTCACTCTCTGCTACGGACACAATAGTCTGTGAGAAATGTTTTAAGTCTCATCCTCAACAGTTAACGTTAAAGCACTAAACCGGTCATCACAAGCCACCTCTTCGTCCGCTGCCAGCATTGGCTCCTGGCATCTGGTGAATACCTAACCCAACAAAACCTACTTCTTTGGAGGGTTCCCATAAAATCGGTGTTAGGGTTGTGCTTATCTTCAGAACCCAACTATAACATGTAGGTTTCGGTAGGTTAAGGTATTAACACTTTTACGCATACAGGGGCCTGAATAGCTGGAATAGGATTGATTTCAAGGCTCCGCAAGGGTTACGGTAGTATAGTTATAAAGTTAGGCTGTTGCACTCTAAGGATCTTCGTGCCTTCGCCACAAAGCATAGAAAACGAATCCCTGTAGCAACTGCATACTCCCCCTGTTTATCGAAACACTCATGAACCGAATTTTTCCGGTCTTACATTCCATGTGGGTGGTCCCTTTTTGGGTACTCTAAATATTAGGCGCCGTATTATAATGGGGACCCAAAAAGCGACCCTAATTTTGACAACCACCTATGTCAAACCCCAAAGCGAACTAAACTCCAAGTCGATGCCCGTCCTCGGAAACCAGCGGCTCGCACGTCATCGGGCGCTGGGGGGTGGCGGGTACACGCTTCCGACGAGAACCTTTCGGTGCAGGCCTTTACGGGTTTTTTCGTGTAAGGCCGAAGACTTGGCAAGGGATTTACACGGGTTATAAGAGGTTACGAGTCCGAGCAACCTCAATCAGGGTACTTGGCAGCTTGATAAATTCATGACTCACTTACTGAATCCACTGATGCTCAAGCCCAAACCTTGCCCCAAACGCAAAACTCCCTAAACAAAACCTCTAAGTCCTATGTACTCCAAACCCAAAACCCCCTCGAAGCCTTGTAGCCCTGAGGAAGATCGAAGGGTTCCAGGTTTAGGGCTAACTTATACTAGGATGCCCAGTAACCAAGGAATAAAAAGGGCTCCCTTTTTCGTATGGGGTAACTAGAACTACAAAAAGGGAATAAGGTACTACTAGGCATCCTAGTAAAGGGCTTGGGATTGGGGGGTTTAGGATTCGGGATTAGGGCTCAGGGTCTTTGGCGCGGATTCGCGGATTGAAGCTTAAGGCTTTAGGTGTTTGCGGGTATGCTTACGCAATTACACAAGGGCTTACATTTCGAAGGGTTGGGTAGCAGGGCCGCAAAGTTCTGCATGGACGCTTTGGGCGTATCCCACACTCCAGCGCCAAGCACCAACATAATTTTCCTAGCCCTAGACATAAACAAACTGCAACAGATTCAACACTCACGCCGAATATGCAACAGGGCGTGGTGTTGAGGTCGCAGGTTTTGGGGCGCTTGGTGCCGCCCAGCTGCAAGCAAGCAATGGCCGATTGACCTGCGGCCATGAGAACTTCGGGGCAGTTTAGGCGAGTTGGTTTGGGTTTAGGGTTCAGGGTTGAGGGTTGAGGGTTTAGGGTTTACGGTCTTGGATTGGTTTGGTGCTCCGGTAATATAGGGCCCTTCGCAGTTAGGGTAAAGGAGTATATATATATATATATGGATATATATATACATATATATGGATATATATATATATGTCTATATATATACTCACATATAATATGAGGACTACAAGGGCATGCTCTTCGCTGTATATCCCGACAGTCTCAGCAGGCTGAACCCTGAAGTGTTACTGAAGCTCAAGCCCTAGCACCCATCTAGGGTCTAGGGGTGTAGGGTTTAGGGGTTTTAGGGGTTTAGGGTTTAGGGGTTTAGGGTTTAGGGGTTTAGGGTTTAGGGGTTTAGGGTTTAGGGGTTTAGGGTTTAGGGGTTTAGGGTTTACGTAGGGGTTTAGGGCTTTAGGGCTTTAGGGTTTTAGGGGTTTAGGGGTTTAGGGGCTTAGGGTTTAGGGGTTTAGGGGTTTAGGGGTTTAGGGTTTAGGGGTTTGGGGTTTAGGGCTTTAGGGCTTTAGGGATTTAGGGTTTAGTCGTTTGCCGGAGAGCAGTCGGCTCCTGGCCCTTGCTACGTTTGTCGGCTTTGGGATTCGGACCTGTTCACGGGTGCTGGCGTTTACTGTTGGCGTCTGTTTGAAGGGCTATGGGGTTTGGGGGTTTACGGATAGGGCTTCAAGCCTTTTTCTCACCTTCAGATGTTGTTGAAGGCAATTTGTAAACGGTTTTCTTCTTGAACATCTGATACTTAGCAACTGCCAAGAGCGGCCTAATCCTGATAGGCACTAGACACTCAAACTTTGAGCCTAAGCCCTACATCAAACCCTTAACCGTAAACCCAAATGGACCCTAAGCTTCAAACCAACACAAAAGCACCTCGCCCCGGACCTCAGCAAAAAAAGCGTTCAAGATGGCCTAGACTCCAAACCCCTACAACCCTAAAACACATCGATGAACTCACCACAAAAAATCGCACCCAAAAAACTCTGCTTGCTAAACCCTAAACCGATCAAAAAAGCACATCAAACCTGCCTGGGAAGCGGAGGGAGATGCAGTGGCGGCGCGGGGCAGCACCGGTTCGGGGGTGGCCGCCTGCCCCAAAAACACTACGATTATATAGTGATGTATATGTATACATAAGCACATGTAAGATACACATACACAGAAGTCGGAACAAATAGCAACAGTAGTGCCCGGTTTAAATCCCGAATAAGAACATGTTCCAATGGGCCGCGGGCCTGAGGTCCAGCAAACCCCGAAACCACCAAATCCTGATGCCCTGCATCTCAATGAAACCTCGAACCGAACCGTGTCACCACCCTCGGTTGTTGACATAGTTGGCTGGATAGTTAGTTGTTCATGTGTTGATTTACATATGGGTGGTTGTCAAAAAAAGGGTCCCTTTTTGGGTCCTGAATATTTTACGGCACCTATTATTTAGCGGTACCCCCAAAAGGGGCCATAATTTAGACCACTACCCATATGGTGGACCCCAGAAGGTTGGAACGTGGAGTTAGTATGATTGGTGATGGGAGTTCCTATAGTATACTTTACGGGGCATGAAGATCAGGATGTTCCAAGTTTCGTCTTCTACTCTACTTATATAGGATTCTGTGTGTGTGTGTGTGTATGTATGTATGTATGCATGCATGTCTGTATGTATGTCCGTGTGTACATATGTGTATGCATATATATATATAGATATGTAAACATACTCACACCCATATCTATATCTATCTCTCTACATATGTATATATACACATCTATATATACATCTAAACCCGTATCTATATCCATATAACCCGTGTCAAAACCCGGCTAAGACCTAAGTTGACTCCGAAGAGTAAACCACATTCTCCTTTGATCACGAACTTGAAAAACTAAACTTTATGAACCCTAAAATCTAACCCCCTACATGCTGATTCTTATCACGTTTCAACCCCCAAAGTTGACATCGCTGCCAGGCCTCTGCTTCCCATCCTTTCACCAGCTCCCGGATCCTGGGCTGAGATGGCTTGAGGGGCCACAGGGACTAAACAACTAGATGTGTTTAGTGTGCGTGTGTGTGTGTGTGTGTGTGTGTGTGTCTTTATGTATGTATGCATGTGCGTATGTATATGTCTGGTTACATACAGATCTATCTAAGTCTTTCTAGTTACTTGCTCATATGTCTAGTGAGATCGGCTGAAACCAGCAAAGAAGATGCAAATCGCATCCCAGCGGCCTATCCAAGTGGAATGGTTAAGGGCTTATGGTGTGGAAGGGTCTTAGATAAAAGTGCAGACCTCATGGTGTCGGGAATGGCGCGCTTAGGCCTTGATGGCCTAGTGAAGTCTTGAAGCCTGTATATAACTCCCACACCACCTGGGACCTCCTCAGACATGCAGCATTCCAGGGTGTAGGGATTACGTTTAGGTTTCAGGCCTCGAATCGTTCCGCAGTTCTGAGGTCTAGGGTTCTGGGTTCGGGTTTGGGGCCTGGGGATAGGCTTTAGGGTTTGCGGTTTAGGGTTTAGGCTTTAGGGTTGAGGCTTTAGGGCTTAGGGTTTAGGGTTTAGGCTTTAGGGGTGTCAGGCTTCCAGATCCAAGCCGCTGAAGGTCGGGGATGTGCCAGGAGCGAGCGGCACGCGTTTCTGCCTTTTCTCCTGCAGAACGCTTGGAGGGTCGGGGGACTTAGTAAATAGGTAATACGTAGAGTTATAAGTCCCCTAGAAGGGACCCTAATTGGGGTTATAGTACTTATGGTACTTATAATCCTAAACCCTAAACCCTAAACTAAACCCTAATTGGGGTTATGGTACTTATGGTACTTATAATCCTAAACCCTAAACCCTAAACTAAACCCCATGGTACTTATACCTCTCTAAAATAACTACTTAGTAAGTCCCCCGACCCTCCAAGCGAGGAGTCGGATCGAAAGTACCAAGGAACCCTAAACCTTAGAAGCTGCCCCCCCCACCCTGTAAAAGTGACTATAGGGATTATATTAGGGCCCTATTATATTCCTATTATAGCACTATTACAGGGTGGGGGCAGCTTCTAACCTAAACACTAAAACGCTGAAAGGAGTCAAAAAGGCCCCTATGAACCCTAAACCCTTAATTTGAAACGGTCCCTTCCTTCAGTAGTCCCTACGAGAATTTAGGGAGTAGTACTTAACTAAATGTGTTGTCTCGAGATTCCGGGATCAGGCACCTAGTAGAAAAGCAGCTTGCTATTCACTTGAGATTTAAAGGCAAGTAGCAGCACCCAGCAAGCGTGCTTGTATCTCAAGCTTCCCATGGTCTAGTAGATCCTCTGAGCAGGCTTCATGGCTTAGGTTCTAGAACATGATTGTGATTACTACTATTGGTTGTTTTGTTACCATCCTCTTATGACCCTTGCTGCCGCGAAGGTCCTTGTCCTGCTGCATGCGCATCAGGAGCCTCCTCGTGAATGCGCAGCTCGACCATTTCCCCTACTTAACACCATATCTGGTCTTGCAAACGAGGTTTATAAGGGAGGTCTCGTGGGCTCTGTGGGAGGAACTGTATGGTAGCAAAACGAGTCATCGCTACTAATTACTACTCAAACCCAAATGGCATGGTTTCTCCATGCGGACGCTACACAGATCAGAGTCCGTATTGAGGAGCGTCATCCCTCCTACGTTCCCGACACTGCTGTCCCCGTACATTGGCCGTAGTTCGACCGCTTGAAGTTGAGGGGACATCTACCTATCGGGACCCTGCGATGGGAGTTCTGAATTCTGAATGGCAACCTCGATTACATTCGTACTTGGAGGATCATGGGACTTAGTAAGTAAGGTTCTAAGTTATACCCTCCAGAGCCCTGTTCGCGCGCAACATGCGACGGGTTCAGGCTTGCGATTTTGCTGCCGGGCGCAGTACTTTCAGGCATTCTTGCTTCTAGAGGGTGCCAAAGTACTGGTTTTTGCAGCATTTCCTGCACGTGTCCGGGTTGTTCCCGCAGACCTCTGAGCCTCGAAGAAGCTTCAGCCATGATGACGTGCAGATCAGACTCCATCCATTGCCGCAGAGCATCCATGTCCATGTGCCAACCATGATGACGTGCAGATCAGACTCCATCCATTGCCGCAGAGCATCCATGTGCCAACCATGATGACGTGCAGATCAGACTCCATCCATTGCCGCAGAGCATCCATGTGCCAACCATGATGACGTGCAGATCAGACTCCATCCATTGCCGCAGAGCATCCATGTGCCAACCATGATGACGTGCAGATCAGACTCCATCCATTGCCGCAGAGCATCCATGTGCCAACCATGATGACGTGCAGATCAGACTCCATCCATTGCCGCAGAGCATCCATGTGCCAACCATGATGACGTGCAGATCAGACTCCATCCATTGCCGCAGAGCATCCATGTGCCAGCCATGATGACGTGCAGCTCTTCGCCTGAAGAGAAAAAATACAACATTTTTCGGACAGTCTTGCGTGGCCCAACATCTCGAATTCATTGGCAGGGCCAACGAATTTGCAACATGCGCGCCTTTGCGCGCGCGCGAACAAAGCCCTGGCGCGAAGTTATAAGTACCTCAATTGGAGTTATAAGTATAGTTACCCTAATTATAACCCTAGTTACTAAGTCCCACGAACCTTCAAGTAAACGAGTGGGAAAGCATTGTCATGCGACGTTTGTGGTGCTGCCTTTCGTTCTTGGCCTTCTCACAGATGCTTGACTCTTGCATTTATAGGCATCTGTTATCGGGTCCTTATGAAGTTCTCCAACGGGTGGAAATTTGAGGGAGCAGGGCAGATGGACAAAACCCGACAATACAGCTATAAATCGGTTATGAATCATAACTATGGAAATGCAGGACATATTCCTGTTTTGGACTAAACCCCCTCCCATCTATCAACCAGAGCTCTGCATGAAGCTACCATGACCCTAAACCCTAAATCGTAAACTATGATACCAGCGCCCTCCCTCGAAGACTGAGGATTGAAAAGCAACGGGCGGATTGATGTTTCAAGCCAGCAGGTCCGTCAACCCCTGAACTCTAAACCCCCCTGAACCCCAAAACCATAAACCCCCAGACCCAGTAAACCCTAAACCGCTGAACCTGAACCCTCAACCCTAAACCCCTAAACGCCCCAAGACCCCAAAACCCTAAACCGCTAAAGCCAAACCCTAAACCCCTAAACGCCCAAAAACCCACAAAACCAAAACCCACAAAACCCTAAACCGCTAAACCTAAACCCTACACCCCTAAACCCCAAAACCCTAAACCGCTAACCCCTTTCCCACAACCCTGGATTGACTCCATGGCTTGCATGACTAGACCATGGTGCCGCTGGTTTCTACGGTTTGGGGGTTTAGGGCTTAGGATAGTTTAGGCTTTAGGGGTTTAGGGGTTTAAAGTTCCATACTAGAGTTGCACGAAGATGACTTCAGGAATTAAGGAATAATACTACTCAGGTTGGATGTCCCTATATTACGAAGCCCCTTCTGAAACCCTCTCAGAAGCAAGTGTCAAACCCTATCAGCTCTATCAAGCCTGGCAAAACCCTAAAACCTATTGTGCAAAACTCTTCCGAGCCCCGCTTTGTTGGATCCCTCTTTACTGAAAGGCCTCTTCAGACTCGCTGTCGACATGGGCAGATCGAGGGATAGCGTCCTCCGCAGAGCTCGGCTAAAACGTAACCCTGATTCTCAAACCCTAAACCCTAGTTTCCTAAACCCTAAAATCCTACTCCTCGAAGTTCCAAAGCTTCTCAGCTCCTCGAATTCCCATTAAAAACACATGAACATGACTCATAGGGTTTAGAGCTTTTGGGAATTGGTAGGGTTTAGGGCTCGGGGTTCAATGACCTCAACTCAAACCAAGAATAAATCCTCGGAGACAAGTATAAGTAAGAAGGGTCCTAAACCCTAAACACCTGTAAGGGTCTCCCTAAGACCACATGGGAAGTAAGCCCAGGTTGCCATTGGACCGCGCCTTTGGAGCTCTCTCGGCGCGCTGCCTTCATTGCTTCTTTTGGCTGGGGGTTTGGGGAAATTCTTTTGCAAAGGTTTGAGTATAGGTTTAGGGTTCCGTAAGAGTTTAGGGTTTAGGAACTGGGGTTGTGGGGAGATTCTTTTGTGAGGTTGAGGGCATTGGGGTACAGGGTTCAAGGTTTACGATTTATAGGGATGTCCATGTCATTCTGTGAACTAGGAAGCCTCATGATTTGTACATTAAGATTGGGAAGTTGCTTCGTCAATTGTCCAGGGATTCTGGCTGGGGGCCTTGCTGTGATGGGCACTTTTGTCAATTGATGCTTTGACATGTTTGTGGGGTTGCAGCCGTGCCTGCTTGCTTTTACCAGACCTTTGAAGCCCACTGAACAATTAGGCTGAGTAGGGTTTCGGGTGCTTCTCTATCATACATACATTACGAACTGTTCACACCCTTGGAGATGAATACATGCTGGACTAATTATTCACACAAGCAGTTTCCGTTGCAAGCTGCCGTGATTGCGGCCTGGCGAGGATGCGTGGTGGGAGTTCACAGGCCCCACGAAAGCCTGAAAACCTAAACCACAAAGAGCCGGGAAGAATAGAGTGCGGGCAGACGGTCCCTCGAGAAAACGGACCCCCCAGTCAGAACAACTGATATAGAAGCCCGACAATTCCCAACATTACTCCCAGGGTTCCTTCCTGAAACTACACCTGTAACTAGAACCGAACAGTAACATACCCCTAAACCCTGCTCCAATCCTGTTACCAGCTGGCCTCCTTGCTGGGGTTGTACGCCACAGCGCAGCGCGCTGAGAAGACGGACGCGTTGCCCTCCCGGGTGCCAAGGCATAAAATCCCCAAGCCGGCTCGGGTCAGCCCGCGGCTCAGCCCACACCCGATTTTTTCAAAACTCAATATGTTATGTTGTTTAATAATGTAGTAGATTAAGATACTAGAACAGACACTTAACCTGTGAAACCTGACTCTTTGGTTCTATCCACACAAACACTCTTCTGGAATCTACTACTTCCGAAATCCAAAAAATCCAACTCAACCCTAAAGCCATATACTTACACCCTTTAAACCTGAAACCTAAACCCAGATACTCCAAGCCCCCCAAAAACGGCGAGAATCTAAACTCTTAAACCCCCAGGGCTTTGATAAAATTCTTGAAAGCCCCAACAGGCCTCTTAAACGGGGCGGAGCGTGGCCGTGTCGTCACCTCACCAATGGAACCGTTGTTGAGGCTTCGGGACTTGAATGTATCCTGGCGCCCCAGGCCGTTAGGTAAAGACCTTACTCCACAAGCGCATTTACAACGGGCTATGCAGGGCTTGGCCAGGGACTGTTTTCGACGTGTTGATGTGTGATTCCTGCTGGTGAATGAATGCTTTGGCACTCGCCGTCAGTGGGATACCAGGTAACAGCTGCTTGTCCTGTTGGTCCAGTTTAGTGGGAAGGACTATACAACCCGAACAAGCTTGGAAAACATTAACGGTTACTCTTACTCGGGTAATGAGCCACCGAGTCTTAAACAATTGCTGAGTTCCATGGCCCTAGAACGGCTGACCTTCTTAATTACTGTAGGATGATCTTGATTATTGTTTCAGTGATATTATTCAAGCTACCACTACTATCATTTTCTGATTTAGTATCATATATGTATGTATGTATATATTTATATTTATTTACATATTTACATATGTATATAAACGTAAATAAATAAGTGTATATACATACGTATATATATATACACATTATTTATACATATGCATCTGTATATATATATATATATATGTATATATATATATATAGAACACTCCGCAAGGTTCAAGATTAGCTACTCGGCTGCAAAGGCCAAAACCCGGGGTCCACGGAGTTCGTCAACCCGTGGTGGACCCGATCCACAGGCAGAACCCCTTGCCGACCCAAAGAGACCAAAAAGCCGGAAATGCAGTTCAACTCAACCTACAGTAGAAGCCAGAAAGTTGGAACATCATTATCGTAACCCCTTTAAGGTATATTATAGGGGATCCTACCATTAATCCATATTCCAACTTTCTGGAGTTCCCTTTATCTACTCTCCTTGAAATGTACCCCAAGGGTCCAAGTACCTAATAATCCTTTACTCTCCCAAATACTAACCTACGTAACTACTATCCATTGGGTCCCTTGGACCCTTAGGGGTAGTTTTTGGGGCATGGGGTTTAGGGTTTGGGAAATAAAAAAAACGTGTTGGAATTTCTGGCAACCCAGTGCCACGCCTGGTAAGAGAAGACTTGCGCCGAGTTGTAGGGAAAGCGGGGAGTCGCAGACATGTGGTGCGCAGGATCAAACCCAACTAGTTCTCACACAAGGATCCCGAAATATGGGAGTTATGTGTATATGCTGTATATGTATATGTATATATATATATATATGCATACAAGACTTTCAGATAGTTTTACATGCAGGGACATGATTTTTGTGGGGATGGGGGGTCATAATCGAAAATGATGAGTTGCCGGAATGTTTTTCCATTCGATGCTCACGATGTCATGCCTGCTGTCCGTGCAATTGCTTTGGTGCAAGCGGGGGCCGCAACTATTACCAGCTAGCAGTCAGCTACCCCGCATTGAAGCTCAGTCGTGGCATGTCTTTCTCATGGTAGCGGGCTGTCGCGAGGATCGGCGAGAGAAGACGTTGGGAAGGAGGCGCCGTAGAGGGGGGGCTTAGGGGTTCACGATGTACGAAGCTGATGATGCAAGACTTCAACCCTAAACCCTAAACCCTGAACCCTAAACCCGGGATCCAGAAAGCACGAAGACCGTAACTGAAGAGCATACCTCACACATCCGAGGATTCCAATCTAAAACTCCAGGCGTACGTTTTCCTCAAACAAAAAAGCTTAAACTGCCCATAAAGGCATCAACAAAACCCGACTACATAAAACCTCCTTCTGTAAGGTACTCATGTCCGCTTTTGAAGAACCTTCTTTAAACGTATAGGTTCCTCAATAGCCTGGGTGGTCCTTGACGAATAGAATAGAGCCATTCACTTGTGGGGGTTCTCTATCTTAAAGGTTTAAATGCCAGGTTTTAGTTACTCTTGCAAGCATGCTCTAGGATGCCCAGAAACCTAGGAATAAAATGGGTTCCCGTTTTGGTATTGGGTACCTAATAAGAAACCTAGGACCACAACCAGGGAATAAGGGCACTACTGGGCATCCTACTGTTGATGATACAAATCCTGCATGACCCCAAAAAAGGAATATACGATAATTCCCATAGTTTAGGGTCCTTAAGGTAATGCAGGATTTATACCATCAACCGTAATACTCTTGGTCGACCCCAGGGTTTACTGTAGTCCCAATCCATGCAAGCAAGCAGACTGTGGACTCGTGGACTGCCGAATAGCGTATGGCAACGGATAGCATATGCGGCTTATTGTCCCAAGAAACCGAGCACAAAGCTAACATCGTGACATCGTGGTCAGATGTCGTGAACAACAGCACCTGCAACAACAAGCGCAACTGCAAGAACCACAGCAACAGTAAGACTTTTTGCCACAGCACATGGGTGGTTGTCAAAATTATGGTCCTTTTTTTGGGTACCCTAAATATTAGGTGCCGTATTATATTAAGGACCCAAAAAGGGACCATAATTTTGACAACCACCCACATGCAGAAACGGAATGCACAGAAGAGATGCAACGGTCCGTTTTGCATGGCGCTGCTTAGACAGCTAGGCTTCTGAACGAAGACGCCGCCTGAATGACCCAACACCTGCGACAACCCATAAATCTCGTAGTACTCTTGGCAAGGCTGGAACCCGAGAAAGTAAAAGCCAGAAAATTGGAATATGATTATCCTAAACCCTTTATTGTAAGTTACAAGGCATCCTACCCTGAAACCATATTCCAACTTTCTGGAGTTCCCTTTAGTTCCTAAACCCCTAAGGCTCCAAACCCTAGCCAGGCCCCAACCCCTAGACCCTTGAACACCCTGAATCCTTCGCAGGATGTCCTTCATATTAAATAAAACCACAACCAAGAAAGCTTAGAGGATCCCAAGATCGGCCTGCTGCCTTATAGGCTTTATTGTAACTCCTTTGCGTAGAGGATCGGCATAAAAAACTGTCTAAGTTAATGCAGGACCTGCAACGGAGACTATAGCTAGAAGCCTTTCTAATACCTGTAGCTTTTCCTTGTCGTACCCTTATAAGGGTCCTACCCTTACAGAACCTAAGCTTGACGCTTCGTGTACCGCTAGAGGCTACGATGACGTCCCTCCTATCGGTCGTCTAAACGCCGAACCCTTAAACCCGAAATCAGAACCCTTAAACCCCACTAAAGGGTCCCCCGAACCCTGTAAAGTGGAAGCATCATAGAGGCACACAAACCCCTATAAGAGAGCCCAGCAAGATTGTACAAAGCCCTTAAGCAAATCACTAGACTACTCTGACTACTAACATACCCTAAACCCTACAGCAGAAGCCTAAAAGTTGGAAACCCGATAGCCTCAATCCCAAAGAGCAAAGTATGGGGGATCCCAGCACGATTCGTCCCTAATTAGGTTTCCAACTTCTTGGAGGTTACAATAGACCCCTAAACCTTGAGACGGTCGAGTCGGAGCTGTTGGGTTAGGAAATGCAGCCGGCAATCGCGCGAATTAAGTCTCTCCGCTTTCTCTGGCTGTAGGATTTAGGGTTTAGGGTTTCCGAGGATTTTTGTTAGTATTGAGTTGCTTACGACTTCAGCTGTAGACTCGTTTATGAGGGTCGAGGATTCATGGAGAGAAGCTCATGGGCAAGCTGTATGCGAAAAGAAGGTATCAGAAGAAGCAAGCGGAAATCTTCCAGCCAGCACGCTGTGTGGAACAGGATCGTATCCATCTGTGTGGCCTAGGGGTCTCAATGAGTAATTAACATAGGGCTTTGGAATACATATCATATAAGTAATTGTATATGCAAGGAGACTTAAGGAGTAGTTGTTAGTAGCTAGTCAGGATTCTATGTACGGTCCGAAAATGTCTCGGCTTCTTGAGAACCGTCAACTGTTCCGGTCTCTTCCTGAACTATAAATGATGCCCTCCAGCATGGCTTCAATAAGCACGTCGCAAGCATCGTAGCACCCTAAAGGCTCGAAGGGAGGGACATTAGCGACGCTCATGTCCGTAGGGTTTATCACGCTTCCTATGGTGAAGTGATGTGTATATATATATATATATACATACACATATGTATCTATTTGTTTGTGTGTTTGCATTTGCTTATCCAGCTAGAGAACAGAAAACAGTAGCACTCTGTCCATACTGTGGTATCTTGACAGTAGAAGCTGGAAAACGTGTTCTACAGAAGTTCTGATGTCGTCGTTCCCAGCTGTCGGCTCGAATTCAGGTGCAGCCCCTCAGTGCTAAGATCTAGACTAGCCATCAGTGTCGATGATCCCACAAGTCCTCCGGTCTCTTGATTTGAACCCGAGGTTTGAGTTGTGGCACCGAAAAACCTTTAAGAAAATATATGGGAGTTTCCGAAAATGAGGGGCACGTACCTGGGGCCCTTATAATAAGGATCCTACTATTTAAGGCACTATATTAGGGTCCCGTATTTTCGGAAACTCTCACATGAGCAAACCAGAATAAGGAGCTGCAGCAACGCAGATTATCGGGCTCCAGGTAGGGGAACCCCCAGTGGTAAACCCTCCAACGTTTTGCGGCTTCTGAATAAACAACTCTCATCTCGAGGGCCTGCTTCAAGAAGCTCTGAAGCAAGCTGATACGGTTGATGGTATGAATCCTGCATTACCCATAAAAAGGCAGTATACCATAATTCCCGTAGTTTAGGGTAAAGTAATGCAGGATTTATATCATCAACCGTACATAGAGGGTCTGATTAAGCAAACTGGTCGGGGATTGGGATAGAGGATCAGTGGACCCGGTGCGCAGGTTCTCCCACGTATACTTCTTCGTGCTGCCTGCTTACATGATCACTTAGTGATCACCTAGGTCCCAAGTCCAAGATGTGCTAGTTTAGGGTTCCAAACCCCAGAACTTGCTATTGAAGGACCGCTATCATCAGTGAATGTTTCCAGTTCCTCACACTGAGCTCTTGTTCAGGAACTGATTTAAAATACCATAATTAACATCTATGTACCATGTATCTGTGATCCAGAATACCATCACAACAAACTACCCTCAACTATTTACTATGAACCCATATCATATCAGATCATGCTAGCCGCTAGCGTAACATCTAAGGCTCTTTGGTCATTCTGCTGATGGACAAAATCCTGCATGACCCTAAGGACCTTAAACTATGGGAACTATGGTATATATTCCTTATAACGGGTAATGCAGGATTTTGTCCATCAACAGTTGCTTAGCTGGGGGAGGAGGCTTCCGATCTCCCCCCGTGCTTATTTCAAGACCCAGAGAGCCCAACAACCTAGGGGCCGAAAAAATTACCAATACTATTTGGGGTGGGGGGGGTCCTCATTGTAAGTATCTTATGATGGGCCTAATTATTAAGGCCGCTATAATAATACCCCTGAGTTGAAGCAACTACCTTAAGCTATCGGGCTTTTTCGGTTGTTAAGCAGTTTTTACAATGTGTAAGCATTCATCCGTTATACTAGACGGAATTACACAATTCATAATGAGAAGTAACTTATTTTTTTTTGAAGGACCTGAAATTGGGATCTAACGTATATTCCTTCATTTAGGAGGGCGTGCCTGGAAGGGAACCTTCCAGCAGAAACTATGCGCCCGCCGCGCCCCTGGCTGCAAAGGCCAGCAGGTCAAGGTTTGACGGTTTGGGAGTTTCCGAACATTAGGGGGTACCTTAAGGGATCCTTTAAAGGGTTGCTATAAGGGTACTATAAGGGTTCCTTTAAAGGGCTCTATAAGGGGTTTAGAGTTTCCGAAAGTTAGGGGTACCTTTATTTGGGGTCCTTATAATCAGGATCCTACTATTTAGGTTTCTGTATCAGGATCCCCTATTTTCGGAAACTCCCATTTAGGGTCTAAGAACTCTTCGATGCAGCGAGGAACATATTATTGTTTCGACCAACTACAACTGTGACAACATTGCGACAACAACGGCTGTGGGTATCAGCAGCTCTTGCTGTGGCAACAGGTGATGTCATTATGCTGAGCATGATGGTCAGACATCTTAGGGTTCAGCTAAAGAACTCTGAAACAAAGTCTTTCTGATAGCATCCTGATTAGCTGGAGCCGCTGATGTTGAGAAACATGACAAGTGCTGTGACAAAACAGAAAGCCGCAAGACAGGACAATAGCTGATGTAGCAAGAGATGCGAGAGGATCGCACTAAACTCCGAA